ATGTATAATATCTTATATTTATAATCTAATGTGATATATATATATATATATATATATATCACATTAGACAATTAATATATATTATAGCTCGTACATATTTTCCTTGTTTTTAAAATATATATTAAAATAATATATCTACCTGTGGGAAATTGTTTACAAACTTTGCTACAATTCGAAAATATACAATTCCGAAAATCCTTCTCGATATCTACAGCCGCCATATTGCGCGACATCGAAGAATCTACGAACTATCGCTATCCGCGTTCAAATTCAAATAATCGCACTTCGATCGCGTCACGAGTAGAAATAATTTCGTACCTCGTCGAACCTTATCTTGATCGCGTGGCAAATTACTCGTCGTTCGTAGCGCGAGGCGCGAACCACGGCGGTCGATGGTTCGATTTTTCGAGAAACGTCGCGCCCGACGATTCCACCAATCTCCGCACTTTCCAGAATATTCCAGACGTTCGCGGCGCACCAATCGCCGCACTTTCGTGCACAGTCATGATTGGCCAGTTTTGAAGCTGACTCGGGAGAAGTCGGTATACCATACTTGTGCGGCGGAGAGAGAGAGCATTGCAATTTCCTTCGAAGCATCGAGCGCGCGCGAGCCCAGTGTATCATACACACATCGGAGCTCACTTCTCGTCGTGTTGTGTCGTGCGAGACGACCAATTGGTGAATCGGCGTTTTGTGCCCGTTTGGTGCCGCGAAAGAATCTTTCCTCGGCGAGGACGCGCTACCGACCGGGAGTCTTTCTTGTGTGTCACAGAGGAAGTGTCGATTTTAAGGCTTCCCGCAAACAGCCATGGCTGCGATGTCCGTGATCGGGATCGACTTCGGGAACGAGAGCTGTTATGTGGCCGTGGCGCGCGCCGGTGGCATCGAGACTATAGCGAACGATTACAGTCTTCGTAGCACACCGTGAGTCAGTCACCGCTACCCACCTCCCCCGCGAGATGCTCGCGGTCACGCTCTCGACAAGGATACCGGTATTGTCCGCCGGTCTCCCGTCGCGACCTTGGCCACTGCGATTTCTTATGCTGCAAAAAACTCAACTAATTCTTTCTCTCTCTCTCTCTCTCTCTCTCTCTCTATCTTTCTTTCTTCCTCTGTCTGTCTATATTTTGAGATACAATTTAGAAAAAGAATTTTTTCTCATTTCCGCTCCTATATATAATTCGCGACGTTGTTCAATTCTAATTTGCGGTTTTAGACATTCACGCACCGAATGGAAAAACTTTCGTAATGTTTTCAGGCTGCGAAAAAAAAGAAACACTACGACCGGCATCGAGTTTCGTGTCTATGTGTACGTGCGAGACAAAAAGGCACACGATCATATTAATCTCACGTGCGCCGGGATCACATCGGACCTCGAAATTACGCTCGTAATTGATCTCGTAACTCCGCGATGCGGGATTCCGGGAAATTTTCTAATGGAAAATAACAGCGTGATATATAGTAGTTCACACACATTTGCGCGGATAACGCGCGCGCAAATTATCGTCCTCTAGATCGCATTACCATTTACAGGCATCTCATTACCAGAGTATACTATACACACTATACGATGTTACATATGCATGTGTGTGTGTGTGTGTGTCCGTTCACGTGTTTTCGGAGCATCCCAAAAAGTCCCGCTTCACTCGCGGCGCATTTCTTTGCTTCTCTTTGGGAGTTGTCAATGCGCTTATATTTATCCTTAGCCGCAATCGCTGACAACCGACGTGTAATTGCTTCATTAAAGATTAATTGCATTACACACATATACATATATATA